ATGATTTTTAACTCATAATAAATAATTATTGAATTTAAAACATTTCCAAAATTATTGCTTTGTTTTTCTGATAATACATAATTTTGGAAGGGATTGTAATTCTGAATTAGAATCATGGGTGTTAAACCTACGCAGTGTAGAGGCTTAATACATACTATATTGACCAGTGCTGGTCTGATAAACAGGTGCAGTGACGGGCACTGAAGTGACAACAGCATTCGATTCATCTCCTTTCCTATCCCTTGTGTCTTCAGAAGAAAGATCATTCAAGATTTTTCTATAAAAAAGCAACACAATGTATCAGATATATACTGCTGGAAGAAAAAAAATGTGCTGAATAAAATAGCTACATTATTGTTATATTGATTATTACAATATGTACAATTTTAGGCACATTGTCTTTTTTTCTAATTCAACAGAAGCAGAGCCTTATAAAATTAAAACCCTTTCATTAAAATGATTGCTAGTGATGCACATTTTTGAATTCTTTTGCCTTGAATATGTTACAGAAAGGTACAATAAATGTAATAAAAAGATTGAAGATGAATACTCTGTACAAGACAGGTAGCATTTGCTTGGGAAGCCGTATTAAAGCCTAGATTCCGTCACTGGAAATATCCTAACAGATAGCCAGAAAAGTCTAAGCAGTCTCAGAAGCAGACTGAAGTCCTTGCACAAGCTCATAGGCAAATTTGGAAGTTGGGAGATACGGCCATATAGTGTTGTTGTTGTTGCATACACCTCATCTTTTCCAGAGAACTTAAAGAGCAACTATGAGGGAGGGCATGGCTTCTCTAAGTTTATCCCTACAATAGTCCTGAGTCAGGTAAAACTCAAAGAGAGAAGGGATATATTGGCAGGGTATAGAAATAAAAGGGATGCAGATAAAAAAAGAAAAATACAAACTACAGGCATTTGCAGATGACCTGGTATTTATTGTAGAGGAACCGCAAACAACTGGACTCAAATTAATGAAGAAAATAGATGACTATGGGGAAGTTGCAGGATTGAAAGTAAACAAAGAGTAAACTAAAATTCTAGTCAAAAACTTTACAAATAGACAAAACGGAGAAGATAGACATTTTCAGTATGTGAAAAAATTAAGAAAAAACACTATTTGAAAATACCAGTCTGGCTCTCTACGATGGAGGCATTTGATACATCCAAATGTGGTTGATATGGGAAAAAAAAAGATATAAAAAAAAAAGATATAAAGATATTTTGAATGAGAAAGGGGAATTGAAAAGTAATCAGGAACTGAATAGTCTCAAGGGATAAATTTAGCATGGTGGCCACAGGTACAAATTCAATCAAGATATGGAAAAAAGTGTAAAATTGTATGGTTTTTATAAAAAAACAAAACAGAATTGGACCAGATTCTAATAGGAATTGATGAAAAATTAATTTTAAAAGTTTACACTTACCTATTGAGTATTAGAATAGAAGAAGAGCAAGTAAAAGAAACAATGATAGTGTGGGCTATGATTATTCTATAGAATTGGATAAATGGCGAAAGTTGTAGGATCTAAATTATAAATTAACAATGTCTACTGCATACAAAGAAAATTTATATAAAACGTTCTACAGATGGTGCTTTCCACTAGCAAGATTAGCCAAGATGTATAAAGATATGTCAGCTAAATGTTGGAAGTACAATCAGACTCCGGGCTCATACTAAATGTAGTGGACATGCCCAAAAGCAAAAACATATTGGACAAAAATACGTATTTGGATAGAAAGAATGATAAAGGAACATGTAGATTTAAAACCAGAAATATTTCTGTTGGATATCATACCAGAAAAATACTGTATAATAAAGGGACTATATATTTAATATTACATGGGCTAACAGCGGCTAGAATTGTATTTGCACAACATTGGAAAAGTGTGGAGATCCCCACAGATGAGAAGATAGTAAAAAAAATACTAGAATGTACAGAAATGGATAGATGTTTAAAAAAAATTGAAATTAAAGAGAAAGAAGATACTAAATATTTTGAAACATGGGATTCATTTTATCTATGGTTAAATAACATAAACAGAAGTTAGAATATTTATAAATGAAGGATTAATTTTACCATGAGGGTTTATTATATGTTTATTATCAATATTAACAAGTATTAATATTATATTGAGAAAATATTGTTATTATCTGATCACTACTAATGAATATTATGATGATGATTGCTCAAACTAACTGTAACCAGACAACACTGTTTATATAGACATTGAAATTGTTGCTCTTTCTTTATATAGTAAAAATAAAATAAAAAATATTTGAGGGGGAAAAAAAGAGAAGGGCTTGCCCAAACTCACCCAGTTGACACAGAAGTTGGGTTTTCTTGACACACATCTAACAATTTATTCTACTCTACTCACTGACTCCCTGAAATTCAGGCTATAGATACAAAACAAATCGGCATTCTGTGGCTGTTGGCTGCAGAAAATACAGGATCTTTAACCAATAGCAATAAAACTTATAAACTGCTTCACAGTGCTTTACAGCCCTAAAAAGTTTACAGAGTCAGCATATTGCCCCCATCAATACGGGTCCTCATTTTATCGACCTCGGAAGGATGGAAGGCTCAGTCAACCTTGAGCCAGTTAGGATCAAACTCCCAGCAGTCGGCAGAATGAGTCTGCAATACTGCATTCTAACCACTGTGTCATCATGTCACCAATTAGCCAGAAAATCAACTAGCAATCTATGTGGCTCTCAGACATTAAAATATTTCCCTCACATGATTTAGGTTTTCACATAACGGAACAAAAAATTGGAATTAGTAAATGTTTGGTTCTAAATATGATTTTTGATATTTTTGAACCAACCAAAGCTGTTGGACAGTCTGCAAGGGCAGCATCATACATAGCATATTACTATAATCTAAGTGGGAGGTGATTACATGGAACTGATTAAGATAGTTCTGGATTTTTTCCACCCAAGAATGGCCACAACAATCACATATGATAATACTGATGAAGATCATTCTCAGTCACTGTAGTAATATGGCCAGCTAGAGAAAAAGTTCTAGCAGTGGGAAGAGATCCAGAAGAAAATTCCACTCTCTTCTACATTATCTGCTTATTTGCTTTCAATCACAAATACATACTCAAAAGAAGATTTAGAAAATGGAACATGAAGAATAGCAGTCTCGTTTTTTTCCTTTTTGAAGTATCTAAGTCAGAGTCCTGGCATGACTTTCTCCGAGGCTTCAGTGCAAATGCTGAAGAATGGAAATAAAATCTAACTCCATAATGCAGTATGCTTACTATTCAGGAAAAGTTCTAGAGAAATTTGCAAAGTTCAATACTCAGAATATTGCATTTCTCTACTGCAAAACAAAGATTATTGTGCAAAATAATTCTTCTCTTATCGGACACTTTCTTTTATCAGGAAGTACTACAATCTAGACTTGTAACAAGCACTGTCACCTTGAAATGTTCTAACCTCAAAATAGTTGAAAGTTCTGAACATGAAACAAAACAATGTGTTTTGAAAGTTTTGCTGAAACCATGAAAGAAAAAAACACTATATACAGTTTTGTGACTATTCCAAACACTGTAACTGGGCTATTCTTACATCCTGTGGCTGGACTGCTTTTTTCAAACCCTTCTCAGTCTTTCTAGAAGCAGGGAACAAAAAGTGTTGTTAATGCCGCTAAGGCTGTATAAATTTAAGAACTACTATTTACAGTGGTGATTTAGTTGGTTTGATGGTTGTTTGGTTTGATGTTTTTATGCTCTTTTATAATACTAATATGCATCCAGTTAAGAAACACTAGAAGTCACAATAGATAAACTAGAAAACACAATAGATACAAACTCAAGGTAAACTGCACCAAACTTGATTGCAGGAAATACGACTTCAGCCACAGAGTGGTCAATGTCTGGAATACTCTACTTGACTCTGTGCTTTCTTCCCCAAACCCCAAAAACTTTAACCTTAAGACTGTCTACTGTTGACCCCTTTCCTAAGAGGTCTGTTGGGAGCGTGCATAAGCACATCAACGTGCCTACAATCCCTGTCCTTATGTTCCTTTTTATTCGTATCCATTTCATGTATTCACAATCATGTTTATACTTATACCTGTTATCAAATACTTGCTTGACAAATAAAATAAATAAAATAAAAATCTTTTAATAACTTTATTTGTTTTGTCACCAGCAATTACTCCTCACAACAAAGAACTTTTGTGATGTGTAGGGCTGCAAAATTGCAAAAAATAAAAATGCCTACAGAATGTTGGCCAAGATTTTTAAAAATCAAATCATTAAGAAAACTTAATAGGGAAGCAACTGTCAAAAATAAGTGACCTGGTGGATTCATTTAAATATAAAATAATAATCAGAAGAGTTTTAAAAAACTTAAAATTGTTTTAAATTTTTGCAAATATCTTCAATATCTGGCAAAGAATTGATTTTGTGGATCTGTGAAAGGAGGGATCCCTAGGGGTTTTTGGACCATACTTTAAGAAACACTGATTTAAAAATTATTGGTTCTTTCTGTTGTGAGGCTTCTTAAAAAAATAGACACTATCTAATCAGTCTTTTTCAGTTAGTGAAATCGATGTGCTCATCATTTCCTAAGGAAATTTATCCATTCCAAAAATGATTTTAATTATTTCCTTGACCATTTCTTGTTGCCTTTTGGCTAGTATAGATGAGGCCAAAAGAATTGATACGCTTCTATGTTTTTCTCCAAAGAACCCAATTTGCCAGGAAATATTATTTTCCATAATAATTCCAGTACAGATCTGAGAAAAAAAATATTTTAGTATAAAATAGAGACCTGTAAGATGGACGGCGTGCTAAGAGTCCTCTTGCTTTTTGGGAAGAGTCCATGCTATCTGAAGAATCTTGTGAATCCTCATTTTCGGATAATGACACCTGAAAGAAATCAACTATCATTTTGTTGAATGTTATAAGAGACAATATGATGCACCATTTCTTCTATACCAATTTTAAAAATGACAGCAGCCTTTCAAAAATTTGCAGAAAAAAAAATATTCTATGCTTAGGGTAAATAAATGTATTCAAAAAAAGTGTTATTTGTTTTTTAAACTAGAATCTGGACTGTAAAATATTTATGGATTCCAGTAACTTTATGTGCAGATTCAAAGGCAAAAGATTGGAGCTCTCTCATGTTGATCAAACAAAACAAAAAAAAATTTAAAACATATTACAGTTATATTGCAAAACAGTGTTAGCATTAAAACAGGTAGTATTATTTTTCCCAATAATTTTATTAAAGATTATAATGTACAAGTAAAACATATGCAACTATGTAATAAAGAAATTAAAAAGTGCATAAAAAGGAAGAGATTAAAACCACAGCAAGAATAATCAACATTAAGAACTTAGTACTATGTCTTAAAGTAAAATCAAAGATTTCTTCATTCCATATCTCATCCCAGTTTTTATAAACTCATCTCTAAAAATTCATATCTCCCTACTAAATGGCAAGCATCCAGTAAGGATTATCAGAAATAACTTCATAAATACTACAAACTGTATCTATTGTACCCAATCTGAATCCTTCCTTCATCCTTTAAACAAGGGCTGTCAAACTTCCGGCCCATAGGCCGGATGTGTCACGTGCTGGCCACGCCCCCGCCTAGTTTAGCAAATGGAAAAAAGTCCCAATACGTCACGTGATACCACTGTGATGTGACTTTAACACCCCTACTTTAATAAAACAAATCACCATTTGCTCTCTTCAAATAATCAAATTCAGTCCTACTCAAAAAACAAAACATTATCAGAAATAACCATTGTCATCCAGTCCTGCTGTAATCAAGAAGCCATTAAGCATCCCCCCAAATAACAAACCCATTATTTTAATCTAGGTCAAATAAATCAATTTTGTGTTCTTTTTTCTTCTGCAAATAATATTTAAATTCTTTAAAGAACGTTCTAGCATCTGTCTTCATATACTCTCCTCTTATCTCAAAATTCTTGTTTTCATCTTTATCAAGTCCCCTGTATATTTCCAATATAGCAACTCCAGTAAAACATTCTTGTAAATTCAATATAAGAAAACAATCCAGATCACTCATCTGGTTTGTTATTAGTACTTTTTCAATTATTGAACCATTGTCTTTTACTTGTAAATTCATTTCTTCCATCTTCTTGTAAGCTGTAATTTTTAATTCAACTTGTACATCAGCTTCAGTTCAATCTTTTAAATATGTTTTATTAATTTTCTACAAAATATTTTAAATACCAGTATATTATGGAGTTAAGAAGGCAAAAAATTGGAAAGGGGAATTTGCAAGAGAATAAAAAAAAAGAAAAAAAATAGGAGGATAACGTTCAGTTTTCCTCAATACAATTACAAATATAAAATACATTAACCTCTTGATATAAAGTTCAATAATATACGTTATTTATATAATCATCAACAATTATAAACATCAGATCCCAAAATTAATATAGCATTTCTTTGGGTTTCCAGAAAAAAGTCCAAAAGTAGTTTCACACAGAAACAAAACTGGACAAAAATGTTTCTTTAATCAAAGTAGTTAATTTCGCCAGCCAGTTCCATTAACTTCACTATCCATTCTTCCATTATGGGAATTTGTCAGTCTTTCCATATCTGTGCAAGTCTTGTGGCAGTTATCATATATAAAAAGAGTCCCATGTTTTTTCTCCCAATGCTTATCCATCAAACCTAAAAGAAAAACCTCTGGTTTCAATTGTACATTTGTTTTAAGAATTTTCTGGATTAAAGTACATATTTATTCCAGTAACTCTTAATCTTCTTATATGTTCACCAAAGGTGATAAAAGGTACCTTCAGAGTGATTACATTTCCAACATATGTTTGACCCATCATTATACATATTTGATAATTTATTAGGTGTTGTTGTTGATCAACTCTTCACACCTCTATGGATCATAGTATGACAGGCCCTCCCCTGTCCTCCACTACATCCCAGAGTTTGCCCAAATTCAAGTTCAGTGCGTTAATGACACTATCTAACTGTCTACGCTGCTGTTCTATTCTCTTCTCATTAGATGGACAAAGTATTTGAGCTTATATTGTTATAAATCAGGGGTGTCAAACAGGACTTCTCTGAGGGCCGGATCAACATTGTACTTCTCCTCCATGGGCCAGCTGGGTGATGGTGCAGATGGGACTAATGCCTCCTGCCAGCCAAAACGGGGTACAAGGGGGCATACCCCATTTTGGCTGACAGAGGCACTACGGACCTGTCCTTTGCTATTTCCGGGCCAGTCTTAAGCATCCCATGGGCTGGATCTGGCCCATGGGCCTTGAGTTTGACACCCCTGTTATAAATCAACCAACCAACAAATAAATAAATGTTCACTTTTATAAATAATACAATTAACCATCAATTACTTACATAAATGTATGCTATTTAAGTTTTATTTCTGTACTGCTGCAAAGAAAAAAAATACATGAAACTTGTCTATAAACTCACCAGAATTCAAGCTTGATTGAAGAGGAACTTTATTATTTTTTTTAATGAAAGGCTAAAGTGTATATAAATACAAACTTTTAGTAAAAGCTGAAACTAAGCTATATACGGATACGAACAATGTACCTGTATTGATTGTCCTTGTGGTGAGTGAATCACAGAGGAGGTCTGAGCTGTATGAATGACTCCCTGGACTTGATCTCCAGACAGATGTACCACTGTTAGTGGAGTTGGACCTCTAAGAGACATCTAAGAGAAAGAAGTAGTTTAGTCTCCATATTCACTATCAATGGAATGGAAAGTATAGTTAAATAAATATTTACTCTTATGTAAGTAACATTTCAGTTGTGACACAGAAGAACTTAATGTTAGTTTATTATTTTTTATTTGTTACCCTTATTTGCAGTCTATCTCATCATGGGTTTACTCTAGGACGGGGATCCCCAACCCCCAGTCCATGGACCGGCCCCGGGCTGCGGCATGTCAGCAACCAGGCCACACAAACAAGAAAAGGCCCATCCACAGGATGCAGGCAGCACGAAAAATCACCCCCTTCCAGTCCATGGAAAATCCTTTTTCACAGAACTGATCCTAGTGCCCAAAAGGTTGGAGGCTGCTGCTCTAGGAGGCTTAATGATAAAAAGGAAGAAAAGGAAAGGAATGCAAATAGAAGTAAAATAATAGAACAATAAAATAAAGAATGACAAAGGAACACAACAAGATAATGTATCAGTATGATAACCAAAAAGATGGTTAGAAAGCAGAGAGCAAGGAGGAGGAGGAGGAATTTGCCTTCAATTTAGCAGCCACCTCCAGAGACTTAATGAACATTAAGTCAGGCTGTCCAGATTGAAACATTGAAAAAAAATCTATTTAAACAAATATAATGTATTCTAAGAACTATATGTACTTTATATAAGACTACATCAGGTATCTCCAGTTTGCCAGCTTTCAGTATTTGCTAATCTCATTTACTAAATCTAATTGCTTACTTAAACTCCATGTTTCGAACAGCAAACAAATATTTATCCACAATCTCATACAAAAGTTCTTCCTGAAAAATCATTATACATAGGGAAACCAAAAAAAATCAACTTGTTCCTACATTCTTGAGTTTTAGGAAGCAATCAAGGTCAACTGGACTTTTCGGGGGATATGTGCATACAACTTTCTGGGTTTTTATGGCTTCTTGGCATAGGAATACTTTATTATTACTGTGTTCAATTCAGATATATTAATGTTTGTTTTTAATCTGGCACTATTTTTTATTTGTTTTAATCCTGTTAACCCATGGTAGAGATATAAATCGCTCACAGCCATCCATAAATTATACAGTAGTGGCCAAAATTGTGGAAACCTTTTGGGAAAAGTGTATTTTTATGTCATCACTACCAAACAGGGAAATCTTGGTCTCATCATTCCAAATAACACTGTCCCATTGTTCCTCTGTCCAGGTAATATGGGTTTTGGCCCAGTTTAGTCTTTTCAACCTTTGTTTGAAAGATAAAAGTGGCTTTTTTCGTGGAATTCTAGATTTTAGGCTAAATTCCTACAGTCTGCACCTAACAGTCCTTGCACTCAACTTTACATTGCATTGCACCATTTCATCTTGTATACACCCAGATGATTTTCTTCTGTCACATAGGCACAGTCTCTCTTAATTCTTCTATCATCACTTGCTGTTGTGCATCTTTTCCTGCCTTTACCAGTGTGGTTTTATAGTCTCATACCTCTTCAAAAACTCAGAAATGCCACCTTTGGTTAAGTTTCCACCAATTTTTCTTCTAACTTCTTTATAACTGTAGCCTTGTTCACTTAGTAATACTATTTTACATCACTTTCTGGGTGACCAGTCAATCCTTTGCACCATTTCTTTAATTTTATTACATTTTACAAGCTCACTAAATGAAAGAATACAAAAAACCCAACCAACTTGATAGCGATCACATGACACACTGACAAATGTCCCCTCAGGTTCAATACATGACATCAGTAATTGAATCCTACTGTTCTGATTGGCTCATTGCCAAAACAAGATGATACCTGATTGGCTCTCTAAACACTCATGCTCATTGGCTACAATCAGATGAAGGAAAGCTACCTGATATCAACCTAAGCAAGTTGTGCTTCCTTTTTCTGGTTATTTGGCTAGAACTTTTCATAGAATACAGATAACTGAATAAACTTTGTTGCATTACATTCTTGATTAAATTATCTTTCCATTGGTATATAATTTTATGGTACTACTCCAAAAAAAGTGGTGTTATTAGCCATCAAACCTCAAAAATACTTTCCCCAAAGGTTTCCACAATTTTGGCCACTACTATAAATCTAGCATTATAAGCCTAGTAGAATTATAAAAAGATAAAAATATACAACCACTTGCTTAAGTTTCACAGATACTATTGTTGTGCTGCTGTTTAAATTTCACTGGGTAAGAATTTCAAGAATTTGCAGCAGGCACTGTAACACTAATTTTAGAATGAACAAATATAAATAGTGCAACTCTATTCAAAATATCTTAAGATGAATAATCTCCATAAAAAGAAGTGGAGACAATGTAATGTCAGTGCTTGATCTTGCATTATTTGTGATGCATCATTATTCATATTTGCTGAAGGCCTCAACAGAAACAGCAAAACCTAGTCAACCCTGGCTGATCTCAGAAAATTAAATAGGACTGGCCTGTTAATGCTTGAACAAGAAAATCTTACTAGAATGTTGAAGAAGAAAATAAAGCTAAACTTGTACTGTTGCCAAGAAAACTACATGGATGTGACCATGCTTAAGGTTGGACTATAAGGCCTTTAATAGCCCTTCACATCCAATGATTCTGTGTAATTTTATTCAATATGCAAGTAGATACTTTCTTGGAAGCAAATATTTTTAAACAAGTATCACAATAATTACAATTAACAATTTTCAGGCTTAGCATATTTATAATTCTGATAGTTGAAGACATCAGAAATATTTTAAATTAATAACTTGGGTTTTTAAAAGCATTGGTTATATTCAGCAATATTTCAAAGAAAACCAATTCTCCATTACCCTGCTAAACTAGTTCAGATGGATTAGAACTAGATAGACAGACCTTTTAAAATTAATAGGGAATGAGTGTTCAGATATTATGGGGTATGGAAATATAGTATATGAAAGGTCCTTGGTGTTCTATGAGTTTGCAGGTAACACCATCAGTGCTAGTAAGGAGTGCTGTTTGCTGTTAGTTTATATTCTGGTGACTTGCTTGTCTGTGTGGATGGGGGCGGTCTTAAGATATGTTTTGGTTGGGCTGTTTACTGATGGCTCTTTGGCAGTTTCTTGATTGGGGTTTTGTTTACCTGATTGTTGGTCTGAAGTTAACCTTGGTTATTATAGTATATTTGTATATATTTTGAGTTTTTGTCTGGAAGCACATGATTACCCAAGACCCTTTGAGATCATATAGATACTTATTGTAGTTATTTAGAAAGCAAATATAAGAAAGGAAATCTCTGCAGTAGCCTACTTAAAAATCCTTCATGGGTCTGGTCTAGGTAGCTATTTTTACCTGTTGAGAAACATGAGGAAGTTGAGCTTCCTGTAGAGCGGTACCTTGTAAAGATGCTACTTGTGGAGATGTTGATGAATTATTACTGCTTTTGGGCACCTTGTCCATAATCAATCTATAATATACCAAAGATACACAATATGCATAACTAGTTAAAAGAAACTGATCCTTTTTCAAAGTATATTTAACATATTCAGCTATGTTTACCTGTGAAATATAAATAGGATATGGTGTCAAGAGTATTAATATAGATAATTCAGGGATATAAACCTGGCTAAACTGCACATACTGAAACCAATGGAACTCATAGAAAAGCAAGTACTTTAAAGATAGAAACTTATTAAATGGGAATAAAATCCATGACACTCAGTAAGTCTGACTAAAAAGTATAGATTTAGGTACTTTCAACTTTCACTTCCATTGTTGCTATAACTTTCTAGACTTTCAAAATATGTAATGCATTTCCACTGAACCAGATGGACCAGTTTCCAGAATATGAGGCAATATTTCTTTTAAATTTTTTTATAAATTGTTTAGATTATAAAGTGATCAGCAGCTCTTTACTACATTGTGTTACAATTATATATTCCTAATTATTCACATGTTCAGGACTGACTTCTTGTCATATATGTTCTAATTTACACTGGATGCATAAAAACTATTAATATTGTAAAAAATATCAAAGTATGTACCAAAATATATTTGGTATCCCCATCACTTGATATTACAGGTAGTCCTTCTTTAATGGCACTAAATTGGGATGGGAAACTCAGGAGACCTGTAGTGGCAGTGGTTAGAATGCAGTACTGCAGGCTAACTCATTCCTCACTCCAGGAGTTGTCTTGATCGGCTTAAGGTTGACTCAACCTTCCACCCTTCCAAGGTCAATTAAATGAGGACCTGGGTTGTTGGGGTCAATATGTTAACTCTGTAAACCACTTAGAGAGGGCTATAAAGCACTGTCAAGAAGTATATAAGTCTAAGTGCTATCGCTATTTTGTCATTTGCTCCAGGGAAAAGGAGTAAGATAAAGAAGTTAGCTCCTATCTTTGTATGCTTTAGAACAGGCTTGTCCAACCCGCGGCCCACGGGCCGCATGCGGCCCAGGTCACCTCGTAATGCGGCCCAACGCCCACCCCAACCTTCATGAAAGATCCAGCGAGGAGGAGGAGGAGAGGCAGGCGCGAGGCGGGGCGAGGCGAGCAACAGAAAAGGCGGGCAGCCGCAGCCCAAAAGTCCCGCCCCGCCACCTCCTGCTGTTGCCGCCGCCACCGCTGCTGCTTCTGCCCCCGCCGCCACTGCTGCTGCTTCTGCCCCCGCCGCCGCCGCCGCTGCTTCTGCCCCCGCCGCCACCGCTGCTGCATTTGCAGGAGGAGAGGTAGGCGCGAGGCGGGCGAGCTTTCTTCCCCTCTCTCCCCCCTACCCCACAAAATTTGGCCGGAAAATTATAAAATAAAAAATAAATAATTTTTAATAAATAATTAATAATAAATAATAATTTTATTTTATTATTTTATTAATTTAATTTAATTTAATTTAATTTGATTTGATTTGATGATTTGATTGATTTGATTTTGATTTAATTAATTATTTAATTTAATTATGTGCGGCCCAAACCAAATTTTCATCTTCTAATGTGGCCCAGGGAAGGTGAAAGGTTGGACACCCCTGCTTTAGAACTTTCTGCATCTGTATTGTTTTTTTTAAAGTTTTTATTGGTTTTTAAAAACAAACATAAACAAACAGAACATAAAAACATCAAGCCTTCTTCCATAGGTGTACATACAGTGTGCCAATTGGTTTACAAATTGTTTTGTGCTTCCATTTCGTAGTCTTCAATTACAATTACATTGCATATAATCTCGTATTTTCAATCAAAAATTAAATACCTTAGTATCATTATTAATCAATCATTTGACTATACTTTTATTCATTCATGTTTTACAAGATAATCACAACTTACTTAGTTTGTTTTATAACAGTTCATATTATCATCCCAAATCTATCCTAAAATCATTTTGTAGATATAAGAAAGAAGTACACCTTTATATATTTATTATTTTCTAAAAGTCTACATATTTCATTACTGTATTTTATTGTCTAACCATTGATAGAATAGATCCCAAATTTTATAAAATTGTTTATCCTCTTGTTCTCTAATTTCAAATGTCAATCTACTCATTTCAGCACATTCCAAGATTTTCTTAATGATTTCCTCCTGTGATGGTGTTTTCTCATTTTTCCAGTTTTTGGCAAATACAATCCTAGCCACTGTTAATACATTTACAACCAGATATTTCAAGTCTTTACTATATATTTCAGGTAAAATTCCCAATAAAAATATCTCTGGTTTCAAGTCTATATGTTTTTTTGTCATTTTTTCCAACCACATGTGGATTTTAGTCCAGTATTTTTTAGCATCTGCACAAGTCCACCACATATGGTAATATGAGCCAGGTGTCTGATGACATTTCCAACATTTTTCCGATTTATTCTTGAACATTCTTGCTATTCTTGTCAGGGGAAAATGCCACCTGTAAAACATCTTATACAAATTTTCTTTATATGCTGTTGACATTGTCATTTTATAATTTTGAGACCACAATTTTTGCCATTTCTCTAGATCAATCCCATATCCAAAATTCTTCCCCCAAGCAATCATAGTTTAACTTGTTCTTCTTTTAATTTAATTTCTAATAAATATCCATACAATTTTTTAATCACCTTTTCATCAGTACCTGTCAAAATCTTATCTAAATCAGTCAATTTATCATAGAAACCTTCCATTTTAGAATCTTTATCATACCTTGAATGTATTTGTGCATATGAAAACCAATTCATCTTTATACCTTGTTCCTCTAATTTTTGTAAAGATTTGAGTTCACCCTTTTCATTCAATATTTCACCATATCTGTTTGTTCCTTTTTGTATATTATAGGATAAGAAAATGCTTCAATAGTCAATAGCCAGACTGGAATTTTCAAATAACATTGTCTTTTAATCTTCGCCCAGTTTAACACAGAGACTCCCGTATATAATGTCTTCTAAAATACCCCTGTGATTTAGTTCCTTTATACCATAAAAAAGCATGTCACCCCAACAACAAATCATGTCCTTCTAATGTCAACAATCTAGTATTTCTTAGTGTTATCCATTCCTTAACCCACATCAGATTTGTAGCTTGATAATACAACTCCTAATTAGGCAAACCAAATCCTCCTCTAATTCTAGCATCTTGCAAAAGTTTTAACTTTATTCTCGCTTTCTTACCCTGCCATATATATTTCAACACAATTTATTTAAATCTTCAAAGTAATCTTTTCCAAGCCTAATTGGAATTGTTTGAAACAAATATAAAATTCTGGGTAATATATTCATCTTGATTGTTGAAATTCTCCCTATTAGTGACAGTTGTAAATTTTCCCATTTCGCCAGATCTAGCGCTATCTGCTGTTTAAGTTTGATATAATTATTCTCTTTTAGTGTGCTACATCTTGCTGTCAAATATATCCCCAAGTACTTGATCTTATTCTCAATAGGTCTGCCAGTTCTTCCTTTTGTCTTAATAGCATATTCTTTGTCAAAATCTTTGTCTTATCTTTATTTATTTTCAAACCAGCCACCTTTCCATATGTCTCTATCTTTTCTATCAATTTTGGTGCTGTTTCTAGAGGGTCTTCTAAGATGAAAACCAGATCATCTGCAAATGCTTGCAGCTTAAATTCTTCCTTTTTTATTTTCATTCCTTTTATATTCTTTTCATCTCTAATATTTCTGTTTAGCACTTCCGAAGTTAACACAAACAACAAAGGTGATAGTGGGCACCCTTGTCTTGTTCCTTTTCTTATATTGATAGTCTGTCAGTTCTCCCTCCATCATTACCTTTGCCGTTTGCTTATGATATATAGCTTCTATTGCTTGAATAAATTTTCTAGCAAAGCCCATCTGTTCCAACAGTAATAACATGAATCACCAATTCACATTATGAAATGCCTTCTGTGCATCTAGAAATATCAGAGCCATTTGTTTTTCAAGATGTGCCTCGTAGTATTCCAAGGTGTCCAAGATTACTCTCATATTATCTTTAATTTGTCTCTTTGGCAGAAATCCATTTTGATCAGGATGAATAAAATTATTTAGATATTTTTTAAGTCTTTCTGCCAATATTGAAGCAAAGATTTTATAATCTGCATTTAGTAGAGAAATAGGTCTATAGTTCTTAATTTGTAATGGATCGGCCTCCTCCTTTGGAATAAGTGTAACATAGGCTTCTCACCATTATTTAGGTATCTTCTTCTTTAACATAACTTCATTCATAACTTCTAGCAATGGAAGATTCAACGATTCTTGTAATGTTTTGTAAAATTCTGCCGGAAGTCCATCTGGGCCTGGTGCCTTTCCATTATTTTGCTTCTTGAGTGCTTCAGTTAACTCCATCATTGTTATATTGCTTTCTAACATTGTTTCAATCTCTTTAGGTATCTGGGGTAACTTAGCATTCTGTAGGTACTGTTTGACTCTTTCCTCATCAATATTCTCTTGCATATATAGTTTCCCATAGAAGTCTCGAATGATTTCCTTCTTCTCTTTACTACCATAGCAAACTTGGCCTTGGTCATCTGTTAATTGCAATATTTTCCTTGATTCTTTCTCCTTTCTCAATTTGTATGCTAACCATCTACCTGGTTTGTTTGCATCTTCAAAGTAGTTCTGTTTAGCACCTCTAATTTTCTGTGCTAATTCTTCTTTTTCTATTCGACCCATTTTATGTTTAACTATATCCATTTTTAGCTTGATGTCCTTTTTCTGTGGCATTTTCTGTAGCTCTTTTTCAAGTCTTTTATACTCATCCTCTAAGACCTTAGAAGCTAATCTTTTCATAGTATTTCTTTTCCTTGTATAGTCTAATATCAAGCCTCTAACATATGCCTTCATTGTATCCCATACATTCTGAATTGATGTATCTTCTTTTTTGTTTTCTCTAAAAAAAAAAAGCCAATTCTTTCTCCATCCACTGTGTGAAGTCTTTTTCCTTTAAAATAGTATTATTTAACGTCCATCTAGATCTTCTTTTTTGTCCTTTCCATTTAATTGTCATTGGATTGTGATCTGCCC